CCCGGCGGGGCCCGGCGGCAGCCGCTGCTCCTGCTGCTACTCGGTAAGGGCAGGGCCGGAGCGAGGGGCCGCGGGGAAGAAGGGACTATAAGGGATCTGGGGGCTGCGCGGTGGGGCCCGGGAGAATGAGGGGCTGCGGGGATGGTGTGCTGGGGCGGGGAAAGGGCTTCGAGGTGGGAGGGGGAGCTGCGGGCTGGGCCTGGAGTCCCCGGAGGTTGGCGGGCTCTCAAGTCGTCCCCGCACCGGGTGAAGTCCGCGCATGGGGTCTGGCATGGAGCCCCCTGGCCGCTGCTTGGGGTGTTGGGTTCAGTTGCCCAGAGGTGGACTAGGGAGGGTTGAGGTCTCACTCGAGGGCCTGTTTCCACCCTCGGGTCACTAAACTTGTTTTCTGGGATGTTAAGTTGAAAATGACTTGGGTGGCTTGGTGGTTTCTGGAATGCTGTGCTTTGTTCCTTTAACTTATGGGCAAGTTTAGCCACGGAGGTCCAGGTGAGGCTTTGCGGCCCAAGACCCCAGGACCTGCGCTGTCCTTCGGTGCTCCCAGTGGGTGACCCACATGGAGTTCCTTCCAAAACGGATCTTAACTGGAAGAGAGAATAGGGCGGCGTGGTGATCCCGGCCTTTTAGAATTCGACCTTGGTGCTTTAACCTTCGCACGGTTTTCAGCATGGCTTGCAATGCTTATGTGTGTGTTTATGGATTTAAATTTGTGTTGGAATGACTTAAAATTGTCTTTATGAGTTTAGGAGAGCCTATAATGAACAAAATGAGAGGTAGGAGTAGGCCTTGGTCTTTCAGTGGCAGTGTTCTAGTGAATCCTCGTAAAGACCTGCTGCCACTGTCTGTGCATGCTGGTTCCTATGAGTCAAAATGAGGGACTCCATTGACATGTTGGGGAACATTTGGCTCTCCATCAGTTTGTAGAATTCATAGAAGCAGTCAGTGGGTGCTTAGTATTTTATTAATTGAAGAATTTTGTTTTCATTTATCTGTCCCAATAAGAAAGAGCAATATGTGTTGTCTTTTAAACGGGAATCACTTCATGGTTTGATTTTAAGTGTTTAGAGGCCCTCTATGGCACGCTTTCTCACCCCTCTCCCAAATAATAATGGGAAGATTCATCCAAGTGCTAGGATCAGAAATATACAGAAGACAGCTGGTGGGAGTTCAGGTGAGTTAGATAAACACATTCCTGCACATCTTGCCATGAATTCTTTAAATATTTCTAATTCCCATACTATAAAATTCTGTTATTGCAACAGTGAATTTTGGTTTCATGTTTTCGTTGTGCCTATTGTGTAAAATTAGTTATTTGAACTACATGAATAGCCACGAGAGATTACCTTATTCTAGCAGTAAACCCAAAGCCTTGCTGTTCACTGGCATGTGTAATTAGTTGCAAGAGGAGGTGCCGGAACAAGTTTTGTCATGTCAGAATGGCTGCATTGTTCTTTTTTAGAAGAGCCCTCAAGCATTAGAACTTTCATGTTTTGTTTTATGTTTTAAAAACACCTTAAAAATGAAAAATTTTCATAATTTCCTACATTGTAATAGATTGGAGTATTAGTTGTGGAATTAGCTTTTTAATGCCTGTTGCCATATCTTTTTAAGTTTTACATTCAGTAAAAATCCAACTTTTAGAAAAGGTCTGTTAACTTGGATTTAGGTCTATTTAAATCATGTTTAATTTAATGCACAGTTTCACCAAAAAGCATCTTCTAAAAATACTACAAACGTCTAAATTAGTAATTCTTCCTGCATTAATGATTATAAATTACTGAAACCCTCTTTTGTGTTTGAATACTTGATAGAAAGCATAGATAAACATGAACTGAAACTTTTTGCTATGTAAGATTAAGTATGATTACATCATGTGACTCTAAACCAGTGATGTCAACTAGATGACTTCTTTTCCCTTTCCAAATGAAGAATTATCACGTAGGAAGTTTGAAAAGTTTTATGCTAACGTTACCCTTGATTTGAGTTTGTCATTAACCCAGGTTGGCAACCAAATTCTTCAATAGATTTGAGGTTAAAATGTTTGGGGTCCATAATTTTGAATTTATATTGTTAGACCTATCCCAGGCAGTATTAGTCCTCTCCTCTCTGTGTCCACAGAACTTGACTACATGTATGTGCTTCTACTAGAGCATCAATTCAGCTGAGTTATTAGTTTTACACATATATCTCTTTTCCCCATATTACGGCCCACCTTCTGTCTCACACATAGTTAGTGCTCACTACATACACATGGAGATGTCCAGCATTACAGCAGTGGTCCCCAACCAAACATGCATATGTCAGCTTTTTAGAAATATACCTACTTGTGCCCTGCCAACATAGGTTGTCTGAGATGGAACTTTGGTCTTTTTTTCTTTCCTTTAAATATTAATAGATGATTATGTATCACTGATTAAGAAGAAGAAAGTACTAGATTTAAAAAAATTAAATCGAGACAAACTAGGAAGTCATTTCTTTAAAAAAGTCAATGAAGAAATTTATTGACTTGTTCTTTCAGATGGCAATCTCATTTCAAAAGCAAGTGTTTCGTAATTCAAAGCATATTTGCTTGCTCACCAAGTGCTAGAGAGAAAGCATGGTTCAGTCCATAGCAAGCATGTATAGGCACATGCTGAGTCAGCAGACCCCATTCTAGATCTGGTTTTGCATCACTCAGAGTGTGACCATGAGCAAGTTAGTTAACATCTCTGTGCGTGTCTCCATATTAGTAAAGGAGAATCATAATAGTGCCTACCAGTAAAGATTGTCATGATAATTTAATTAACTGCAGAGTGCTTTGAGCAGTACCTGGCACATAGCAAATGCATTACAAGTCTTGTTAAATAAAATACTTTTTTGACATTTTGTGTCAGATACTGTGGATTCAGTGACGAACATGATAGATGAGTCACTATAGCACTGAATGTTTAACAGCTAACATTAGAATTGATGCTAATGCCCATACTGAATGCTCTGCATGTGTTGGCTCTGGCTATTGCTACTGGTCCAAGGTCACACAGCTAATATGTAGTGGAGGAATCTATCATAGAACCATATCACTTACTACTTCCCACAGCTGCACTTGTTTTAGAAAATAGAATTTCTACATGTAGTATTTTGAAGGAATAAGCCAAAGATTTTCCTTTATATATCTCCTGGAGAAATGACCAGGTTCACATCTGACTGTTAGAGATTTGCCAGCAGACCAGGGGGCTGATTTTTGAGACAGACAACTCTCAACAAATAACACAAACATTTTCACTTAAAAATAACAAACAAAAATTTCTGACTATTAGCATACATATATTTCTCTCAGAATTTTATGTTCTAATGGTCTTGTAGACATTTTTCTCTTGACCAGAACTGGCTTCTATTGGGTAAGTTTCTTGTTTTAATAATCAGAAATTTGGGGACCTCTCCATAATGAATGTGGGCATCTCGTGTTGCTAAAACTTATTTTTAGTAATACTACTTTGTTTTTCTTTGAAAGATCAGACCCTCAACATATTTACTAAATGAAAAAATTGTGTGATAGAAAGTTACTTAATGTGAAATGCTTCCTAATGAAGTATTTTGAGTCAGTAGAAAAGTTTTTTTTAATGATTTAGGCATCTGTTTTATAGAAGGGCAGCTCAGTGAGAACTGACTTCTGCATGCTCCCATGGGAGGCAGTGACCTGCTGTGCCCATGGCACATGTGATTGCAGTGACTGACTTCTCCAGCAGCCAGGCCAGGGCCAGGTGTGAGTCTTGAAGGCCTGAGGGAGCCCATGTGGCCCACGTAAACAGTAAGCTGGGTCAGTATCCAGTGTTTCTCTGGCTTCGGACTCCATGCTTTAATACACACTTTGTTTCTGTCTGCCAGCCCTCCTTTTGCCTCCGTTATGCTTACCCGTCCTGCTCAGAAGGCATGTGTTTTTAAAAACCTTTGCTATGTCAAAAACAGGTATGGAATAATTTTCTCCAGGTAGTGGTTTTTGTTGTTGTTGTTTTCAATTCTTTTTTTTTTTTTTTTAATTTTATTTTTATTGTGGTGACATTAGTTAACGAAATCCAGTAAGCTTCAGGTGTACAATTCAACAGTAAGGTATATATATATTGCATTGTGTTCACTACCCATCTCTAAGTTTTTTAAGTGGAATATTCACTCATTGGTAATGCTTTTAGTGTAATCTTGACCAAATAATCTAGGGGTGGGTTAAAAATTTATTAAGTAAAACAGACAAAAAATTGCATTGGTTTCCTTGTTTGCCATAGTTTGCTTCATTTTCATGTAGCAGCTTTTCTTGACGAACACAGTTTTTGGTATTTCCTTTACCAGATGCTTATAGGAAGATAGGTGGTGTTTCTGCCCATGCTCTTTGCTTCAGGCTTGAATTGTTGGCTCTGAAGATATTATTTTGTGAAAGTCCCAAGGGTAAAATGAATTGCTTTCATTGGAGACATTTACTCTGCCAGGGACAAGGGCGTTTAGAATGAAAAGCTAATTGAGTGTCCTCTGAGTATGCCTGAGTCATATTTACACTTAGAGTGATCATAGCCAGGTGTGGAAATGCTCAGTGAAAGGGTGTGCAGGAGCTTGTAGCAGCAGAGACAAGAGAGGGTCCATCAATTCTGAATGTTACAGTACATGGCAGTGGTTGACAGCTGTTTGATTTTAGAACTAGTGAAAACACCTATTTTTCCCATCTGTGAAAGAACAATATACTAAATAAAATGTACAGCTTGTAAGGTTACCTCCTTAGCTCTACCATAGTGATCGGATTACATTTGCTACTAAACTGTTTGATCAGGCAACGAGATATGATGAAGCCAGAGATGGCACCGGCCTTGAGAACTTTCTCAAGCTAGGACCCGCAAGAACTTTATTCTGTCTCTTCCCTCCCTGGGATATGGCAGCCCTATCTAGAAAGGTCATTTTGTGTCAGATACTGTGGATTCAGTGACGAACATGATAGATGAGTCACTATAGCACTGAATGTTTAACAGCTAACATTAGAATTGATGCTAATGCCCATACTGAATGCTCTGCATGTGTTGGCTCTGGCTATTGCTACTGGTCCAAGGTCACACAGCTAATATGTAGTGGAGGAATCTATCATAGAACCATATCACTTACTACTTCCCACAGCTGCACTTGTTTTAGAAAATAGAATTTCTACATGTAGTATTTTGAAGGAATAAGCCAAAGATTTTCCTTTATATATCTCCTGGAGAAATGACCAGGTTCACATCTGACTGTTAGAGATTTGCCAGCAGACCAGGGGGCTGATTTTTGAGACAGACAACTCTCAACAAATAACACAAACATTTTCACTTAAAAATAACAAACAAAAATTTCTGACTATTAGCATACATATATTTCTCTCAGAATTTTATGTTCTAATGGTCTTGTAGACATTTTTCTCTTGACCAGAACTGGCTTCTATTGGGTAAGTTTCTTGTTTTAATAATCAGAAATTTGGGGACCTCTCCATAATGAATGTGGGCATCTCGTGTTGCTAAAACTTATTTTTAGTAATACTACTTTGTTTTTCTTTGAAAGATCAGACCCTCAACATATTTACTAAATGAAAAAATTGTGTGATAGAAAGTTACTTAATGTGAAATGCTTCCTAATGAAGTATTTTGAGTCAGTAGAAAAGTTTTTTTTAATGATTTAGGCATCTGTTTTATAGAAGGGCAGCTCAGTGAGAACTGACTTCTGCATGCTCCCATGGGAGGCAGTGACCTGCTGTGCCCATGGCACATGTGATTGCATGTGACTGACTCTCCAGCAGCCAGGCCAGGGCCAGGTGTGAGCCTTGAAGGCCTGAGGGAGCCCATGTGGCCCACGTAAACAGTAAGCTGGGTCAGTATCCAGTGTTTCTCTGGCTTCGGACTCCATGCTTTAATACACACTTTGTTTCTGTCTGCCAGCCCTCCTTTTGCCTCCGTTATGCTTACCCGTCCTGCTCAGAAGGCATGTGTTTTTAAAAACCTTTGCTTTGTCAAAAACAGGTATGGAATAATTTTCTCCAGGTAGTGGTTTTTGTTGTTGTTGTTTTCAATTCTTTTTTTTTTTTTTTTTAATTTTATTTTTTTTGTGGTGACATTAGTTAACGAAATCCAGTAAGCTTCAGGTACAATTCAACTTTTTTTTTAATTTTATTTTTATTGTGGTGACATTAGTTAACGAAATCCAGTAAGCTTCAGGTGTACAATTCAACAGTAAGGTATATATATATTGCATTGTGTTCACTACCCATCTCTAAGTTTTTTAAGTGGAATATTCACTCATTGGTAATGCTTTTAGTGTAATCTTGACCAAATAATCTAGGGGTGGGTTAAAAATTTATTAAGTAAAACAGACAAAAAATTGCATTGGTTTCCTTGTTTGCCATAGTTTGCTTCATTTTCATGTAGCAGCTTTTCTTGACGAACACAGTTTTTGGTATTTCCTTTACCAGATGCTTATAGGAAGATAGGTGGTGTTTCTGCCCATGCTCTTTGCTTCAGGCTTGAATTGTTGGCTCTGAAGATATTATTTTGTGAAAGTCCCAAGGGTAAAATGAATTGCTTTCATTGGAGACATTTACTCTGCCAGGGACAAGGGCGTTTAGAATGAAAAGCTAATTGAGTGTCCTCTGAGTATGCCTGAGTCATATTTACACTTAGAGTGATCATAGCCAGGTGTGGAAATGCTCAGTGAAAGGGTGTGCAGGAGCTTGTAGCAGCAGAGACAAGAGAGGGTCCATCAATTCTGAATGTTACAGTACATGGCAGTGGTTGACAGCTGTTTGATTTTAGAACTAGTGAAAACACCTATTTTTCCCATCTGTGAAAGAACAATATACTAAATAAAATGTACAGCTTGTAAGGTTACCTCCTTAGCTCTACCATAGTGATCGGATTACATTTGCTACTAAACTGTTTGATCAGGCAACGAGATATGATGAAGCCAGAGATGGCACCGGCCTTGAGAACTTTCTCAAGCTAGGACCCGCAAGAACTTTATTCTGTCTCTTCCCTCCCTGGGATATGGCAGCCCTACCTAGAAAGGTCGACTGATGTTCTAGGTCACACAGCCAAGTACAGGTTCAGTTTAATCCTTGTTTTTTGAAATTGGGCAAAAAGCTTAGATCTTTGAGTCCATGGCTTTTCTGCCACACCACCAGTCCATGAGAGGTAAAAACATCTAATTTTAAATAATAATTTAGGTCCACAGTGAGAGATCCAGGACTCTACCAAATTTCCCAGAGATGCTCTGAGGAACGAGTGTTAAGTAACCTATATGCCCAGGGGGTGACTCAAATTGACCTTGTGATTTTTCGATAAATATTCTGAAGTAAAACATTAAAGAGCTATTGACCAGGTGGCAAACTGATCAGGTGAGTTTAGAAAGATAACATTTTTCAAAATTGTATCCAGGAGGGACAGAAGACCCAGCTGAACCTAGCTTAGGTAATCAGTGTGTCTAGTCTTAAAAAAGCACAATGGAATCTCCTAATAAAATCCGTTATTGCTACGCTTGTAGACGACAGAAATACCCAGTAGTATTTTCAAAGGTGTTTGGTAATTTTTGGTTTTCCTGGAGTTAGCAGGCTTCTTGCACAGTGCGTCAGCAGTGTTTACGGTGAGAGATGTCAATGGGACAGCATGTATAATGGCCAACTTCTCCGCTACCTTCTTGACCAACTATAATACCAAGAGTGGTTTTAAGGTAGGAAACACCAAGATACTTCACGCATTTTGTGTGTGTGTGTGTTTGTGTGTGTGAAGATTACTTAAAATTTTCAAATCAGTGTTCGAGAAATGCTCTCACCTTTACACAGTTCTCCCTACATATTTCCTTCTTGGCTCATCAGTAGCCTATGCTGTTTAATATACTAAAACTGAAGTAATAATATACAAACCATTTGTGCTCTGCTTTCACTATTTTATTATGAGCATTTTTCTAACAAATTAGCAGCACTTATTTATATTTCTTCCTTTGTCGGTTACCTATTAATCGGCATTTCACTTGTTGTATTAAAAATTTACCCTTTTAAATATATCCCTAAACCAAATATTATTTTCAATTCTTTGTTGAAACCAACATTTTTCCTTACCTCCATATTGACAGCACCAATATCTTTTTACCACCACTCAGAAGGGCAACAATTTGTCCCAGAATTGCTGGGAAGATCAGCAGTTTCTTTAGAGTACTCTGGACTTTGTGCCAATTGCTGGTGCCTCATTAATTCATTTGTACTGGTCTAGATACAGATGTGGTCTCTGTCAAAACAGAAGAAAGGGAAGGTTTTGTTCCATAGAAATGTCTCAAATTCTAGACTTGCCCAAGCACCTTTTAATTTCTATTTCACCTTTTTTGGGAGTGGGCTTGGATTTTTAAAACAGTCATTTTGTTATATGTTATATTACACAACTGGGATCATACATACGCTGTTATGTGCCTTACTGCTTCACAAAACATGGTTTTGTCACCTCAAATAGTTCTGTCATTTTTTAGGACAGCTTAGTCCCATTCATTTTGATGAACATTAGGTTGTTTTCTCGTTTGTTTTGTACATAATAGTAAACTCAAACAATTTTGCATAAACACTTTCTTTTCTTGATTTAAAGAGAAATATTCTTTAAATAAACATTTCTATAGCTAACAAGTAGTAATAGCTTTTTTCAAATACAAATAAACCATTCATCCTGAAGCCCAATATGAATTATTTCATTTACCAAAGTAACTTTAGTTTTAATTCTGTCATAAATTAAAATTATATTAATGAAGAATTATTTTTAATAAATAATGAAGTCAACTTTTCCTTACACTTGAATTACTTTTCAGTTTGTTCCTGACTTTACTACTGACTTTGTGTTTTTGTTAATATTGAAAATGACTACCCTTAACAATGATATCAGAGATAGAACTGAGGTCTAATTTTATATCGGACTTACAGAAGATCTTTATTTGTTTTTTTTTCTGAATATCTTTAATAACCTACATTCTAACTGGGTTCTGTTGTCATTGTGTTTTTTCTAGAATGTGAGCTTTGACCTTCCATCTAATGCAAAAGTATTAAATAGCAGTTCCTGTGGTAAAGAGAATGCTTCTGACCCCACTCTCATGATTGCTTTTGGAGGAGGACATACACTGACCCTCAATTTCACAAGAAATGCAACACGTTACAGTGTCCAGATGATGAGTTTTGTTTATAACTTGGCAGACACACAGATTTTCCCCAATGCAAGCTCCAAGGGTAAGAACAAAAATTGACCAATTATGAAGTAAAGAAAATTGAGTTGGGGGAGTATATAAAATTACTTTTAACTAAATACTTCAAGTAGTTAAAAATTTATGTGTTTTTTTTTTTAAAAAACAGAGATCAAGACTGTGGAATCCATAACTGACATCATGGCAGACATAAATAAAAAATACAGATGTGTGAGCAGCAACCAGATCCACATGAATAATGTAACTGTCACATTCCGTGATGCCACTATCCAGGCATACCTTTCAAACAATAGCTTCAGTAAGGAAGGTAAGACACTGACCTTGGCCCTAATGCCATTAGTATAACCCCAGTGAATGCATAAGTCCCCTGGTGTCTGAGGAAATTATGTGAATGAACATCTCTACAGCTGGGGACAGAGCAAGTGGCTTCTATCTTAGGAGAACTCTCCATCAAACTTTTTTTTCTGTTTAGAGATGACCTCTTTAGATTGAGGTGGACAAATATGATTTAAAAAGGGTAAAAGGGCAAAGCAATTGAAACCCTCTCTGTGTCTTCCCTTGTTAGAGCTAATGGGGACAGTGTCACAGAACCTCTTTCGATTCAAGCCAGCTGTCTTTACGCAGAGATTTAGTCTTACCTTAGTTCGGCTCAGGCAGGCCCAGAGGCAGGTTATGTTAGGACCAGGAGTGCCTTTCTGGAGGAATCATGACTCCCAAGGGTGTACCTGCCAGTTTAACTCCACTGGTGGTCTCTGGTCTTAACAGGGCTCCAAGCCCCTTCCCAGCTCCATGGTCATGGATAGGGTAGTCAACCTCTCATTTCCTTCACTTGTAAAATAAGGATAATAACCTATCTTAGAAGGTTGTTAGGATTAAAAAGGAAATGTGTGCAAAGTGCTTATCTCAGCACAGAGTAAGTAGTAAATAGGGCTGTCATTTTACTATGACTTAATAAAACTCTCTTCTCCAGATCTCACTCATCTCTAATTTTCCTGAGGGGCGATTGCCTTGGGGAAGTTGTCTCTGCCTTCTGGAAGGTGTGTTTAAAGACAGTCACATACCTTTTTCTAATCTTTGGACCTGCCACTGGCGGGCCTTTGATTTGCAGTGTTCCCCAGCAGTCTTGCTTGAAGGCTCAGAGTGACTATTGAAGAGTGGCTAATTTGCACAGTCACTAGAGCTGTTCTACACAATGAACCAGTCAGCCCTTTGTCCAGTTTGTTAAAGTCCTCAGAGATGTAGGTGCTACTAGCAGGGCCAGCAATCTGGCTTATAGGCTTCCTCCAGCCTGCCTCTGGTTTCTGTATGACCAGTAAAAGCCAAGAATGGTTTTTATGCTTATATATTTAAAATAAAAATAAAAAAAAAATCCAAAAGACTATTTAATGACACGTTAAATTATTTGGTATTCAAGTTTCATTGCCCATAACTAAAGTGTTAATTGGAACGCAGCCATGATAATTGACTTACCTAATTCTGCGGCTGCTTTCATGTTCATAGTGGCAGAGCCGAGTTGGGACAGGTACTGGACAGCCACAAAGTCTAAATAAAATGTTTAGTATCTGGCCCTTTACAGAGAAAATTTGCTGACCCTTGACAGAGCTAGGACTAAAAGAAACAAAGTTAAACTGGGAGAAATGCAACTAGTAGCAAGTGTGCAGTGCTTAAAGGTGGAGGTCAGTGCAAGCTGGAGCAGCAGGGAATTCTAAAGGAAATGGGCTCAACTTTTCCACCACACAAACGGGCCTGGAGCTGGGTGAGCACACTGTCTTCATCTGCAGGGGCTGATGGAATGCAAGGACTTCCTCCCTCAGGCTGGCCTGAACAGTGTTTGAGGGCAGCAGATCCAGGTGTATGCACATGCTAACATGAACCGCCTTGGGCAGATGGAAGGTGACTTTGTCAGGCAGAGTGGCTAACCAAGTGGTGCTTAGAGCAACAAGCTAAATACTTCGAGTTATTTGTGTTCACAATTACAGATCTCCAAGTGGCTGGGTTTCACACCTGGCGGAATATATCTGGGTTGCATCAACCTCACTCAGGTCACAAGAGCAAAAGGAAAAAGCAAAAACTGTCAGAAAGTCTTGGGAAATGATAGTCATCTCTGGCTTACTGGCTCAGTACAGTAACCTCACTGAAACTGGTCCTGAATGTGGTCATAGAATACAGCTCCTCACCTTTACAACTTTTCTTCTGCTTCGAAGGCTTCTGAACACAGAGATGATCTGGCCTCCCCTGTTGGGGGTCCTCAAATGGAGTGGTGCTTTGAAGTGAGGTGCCAGGTCATGAGTGCACTGAAGCCCTGTAAAAAGAGCTACTGTTTCTAGTCTAAAAAGAGATGTGACAATAGACTAATTTTGTGTTTAGGTTAATTAATTACTTTGTTTTTTAAATAGACATTTTTTAGAGCAGTTTTAAGATTCACCACCGCAAAGTCGAAAGTACAGAGATATCCCACATATCCCCTATCCCCACACATATACATCCTCCCCACTGTCAGTGCCCTGCATTTTCATTACTTTTCTAATGGAGGACATATGTTGGTGATTCCAAATGGAAAAGGTACAGATGTGAGGCTGTCCTCACACCTGAGCCCCAGTCAGTAGCTCTCCTCCCCAGACGCATGCTCATGTCCCACATAGGGTTACCTGGGGCTTTGATCTTCCATCTTGAGAGTCCTTGGGTATTTGGAGCTTGTGGGCATCACTCACTCTGTTCCATCAAGTAGTTTGTCAGAAGTTTGGTCGCTGAGCTGACCTCTCACTGTGGGATGGGTCTAAGACACCCTGCTCCCCTCCCCGTGTTTCGTAGTTGTCCCCTCTCATCAAAGCTTGGTTTAGTTTTGTTAAATCTGCCTGTGCCGATATGTATGTATTTTAAAAAGGAAATCTTGCTTTTTTTTTTTTTTTTTTTGGTCAAAGACACTAGAGCATACTCTCAGTAAATTCTACTGAGAATAAGAGGGTTAAGAGTCATCCTGAAGTTACACTGATTATCCTGTAGAAGTTGAAGTATTCTCCTCTCATCGTAGACTGGAAGGACTGGGTGAAGTCATGGGCATGCCTGTGTGTTCTTCACTGGAAAGGAAGACGTCCTCATTGGGCTTGTGGAACTCATCTTACTATCAAGTCACATCTTCTACAGTAATCCCTTATCAATCTAGTACTAAGAAACAGGAAGGTCAGGGGGAAAAAAAAAAAAACCATCCTGACCTGGCAGGGGCCTGAAATTTTCAAGGCTCTTTTGCTCAGTCTTATGCCTCTTGCCTTGAGAGCTACTACTACCCCACCTCTCACACAACTGTGACTTCTTGCTTGACACACTGTTTTATTGGTCCTCCATTGGCCTAGATTCTAGGTCCTACAGGCAGCTGCTCAGGGTACAGGTGCTGGGGAGGAGGAGTTGAGGCCTCCAGATCTCAAGTACAAACTGGTGCTATCTGTAAATAAGCAAGGGGCTATACTATACGACAGAATATAGTAATTGCTGATGTGGTCTGAGTCTTTTTTTAAATTAATTTTCCAGTTATAGTTAACATACAATATATTAGTTTCAGATGTATAACATAGTGATTAGATATTTATATATCTTATGAAGTTGACCTGAATGGTTTTTAAAGCTCAGCTGTTAGCATGTTCTACAATTACTCAGCTTGTCGTGAACCTAATTCAGAGTCTGATCCTTGAGACTAGACAGCCAGCATGTCATTATAGTACTTTTTGTCAATTCTCTTGGTGTCTTATTGGCTGTTTTTTGACAATGGTTGGTATTAAAGTTGCTTTGCAATTAAAAAGACCGGTATTTTCCCTAGAAGTAGGGGATTTTGGCTACATATACTGCCATGACAGCATAAATTGCTTAAAAATATTTGATTTCTATTAAAATTGAGCCATTTCTTTTCTTTTTTTCCTTTTTTTTTTTTTTAATCTCCATTTATGCCAAATTCACTCCTTTGATTCGTAGGTACTTTTTTTTTTACTTTTTTTTCTTGACCAAATTGAAAGCTTCAGGGAAAAGATCCCATATCAAATATGTTAAGCATATTTTTATATCCCCCTAGTCTGTTCTAGTCATGGATTTTTTTTTTTT